CATGCATGCTGTGACGTCAGCAGGGTTTCAGAGGCAAAACGTCAATGGATCACTCACACTGATGACTGCACTGTCACAAGTAAAATGCCAAAATTGACGCATGAACAATGCAACACTCTTACTGGACATTTGCGTATGGGTATGATGCAAACCTTCATTGCAGGGCCACAGTAAACACTTCTTACAACACAAGGCCCCTGCATGACCGATAAAGGGCAGGTCAGGTGACCATGACATGTCATGTAGCATGTCTGCAATGATGTAAACAGCATCAGATATGGCATCATGCCCTGTGGAGATCATTGTTTTTCAGTGGCGCGTTTCACTGCTGAGACTAGCTGATGGATGAGCACATCATGTTGGACTTACTGCATCAGTACACAAGCTGGAGCCCTCAGTTGCTTACGCAAAGCAGACAAGATTCTGCAAAGTCACTTTCTGCTGCCAATGAATCGCATTGGCAGAAATTTCTGGCACAACACTCCCAACCTTACCATGCCCGTGTCTGCCTGGACAGAAAAAACATGGCTGTAGCTATGGCTGTGGCTGTGGCCATGGCCTGCCTTCGCCCTGGATTAATCCCAAAATTGGAAATTTGTGGGCTGTCTTGGTCGACCTATCTGCAGTAGGTTTCCACCGCAGCATACGTTGCAGGAACTCCTCTAGGCATTGCAGGACGAGTGGCAGAACATCCCACAAGGCACTGTTCAGAACCCAGCGGCCTCTATACCCATCGTTGTATCGCCATCATCAGCACCAACGGTGGTCATCATCAGTACTGAATATTTCATACCCCTATCGTATTTGATGTTATGAGCTTAGCTGTGTCCCTCAGACACTTGTACAGGAATCAACATCCTAACAATTGTTGCTATTTTTCCCAGTTGCTGTCTCCCGGTCAATAGATTATTTTAGAATTTGGTGTAGCAGAACCTTTTTTGAAGAGCATATATAACCACTTGGTCCACAGCAATAACTCCATGTAACATCAGTGGATACCAACAGAGTATCCTCCACTAGTTTCACTAAAGCTCATGACTGACTGACGAGAAGTGGTGTCTAACCCTGAAAATATACAACATGATGTACTACAATATTGACCATCATACAAACGTATCACACGAAGGTAGTTAACTCTTTACATTCAGTAGGTAAAACAGGCCTAAGTGGCTTCAGTTAACATTGATTGATTTGAAGACTGATGTAGGACTTATTGATCTTAGTAAAATTGTGCCAGAGTTAAACACTGTTAATGCTAATCAATGCACAGCTGGCCAAGCTTTCATCTATGATGGGCAAGGAGGATTACAGCCATACATATATTTTACTGGCAATCTTGTTCAACATACTGTTACTGACATAATTTCACCGATGGTCGAACTGAAGATGATGCAAAGTTGACATGCCGCCACTACAAATGACAGTTAACTTGTACTCATCAGTAAACACAACACTTTGTTTACCGTGATTGTGAGTAGGAGCTTGTCTACCAACTAAGGTTTCATGATTACAAGATTACAATGACACACAAAGACAATGTTTCAATTTCAGACAAGGCACAAATAAAACAGCCCTTGACCTACATTTTGGAATGGGCACCAAATTACACCACAGTTATTCGCTGTAAGAGGAGGCCCATCATCTGAGGACACGCCTTCTCATTACAAATATTATCCTCTTTCAAGCAAGATTTCAGATGTCAATTTGTCTTTGACACATACATAAAAACTCAGTTGAGGAGCTATATTAATGACAAAAAACAAATTGTCCAAAACAACTAAAATACTGTTAACTGTATGGATGTAAGCATTTTCTTCCATCATCCAACATAACATCAAAGCGATGACATACAGCCATTGTTGTTCCTATGGCATTCCTTTCCTGTTCCCAACATCTTTTGGGCCCTGTCATGGTACTCCTTGTGTTGCCATGGTTACGGACTTCTCTCCAAGTGAGACTTCATTGTGTATATACAGTGGTTGCTATGTACAAGGCTTCCTGCTCACTCACAAAATTCGCACCTTGATTACACACATATGCATTAACATAGCCTATGTAACCATAGTAACTGTAAACCAAGATGCAATGACACATGGGTGAGACACAGACCATATCAAATACCTGAGAACACTCATACACCTTTGCCATTTCACAAACGTAGACAAATGGCAATTTTATATTCACTGATCTTGTACAATGAATTAAATAATCCTCGACAGGAGAGCAAGGAATACATACATCTTTTGAGCAAAATTAAATCTGAATTAAAAAAACTAAATTAGTAGTAAAAAAAAAAAAAAATGTAAACAAACTAGTGATGATAGGGATGATGTACCTAAACAGAGATGTGTGTAAATGTAAGTGCATAGTGGCTTTCAAGTGTTGTTGCTTGTACCAGCCAGACTATGTTTTATATCGCGGAAGTGTTGTATCCATATTACTTAGTCACATGGTACTGACACCAGCCGAACCTGTCCTAGTTTGATCCCCATAACGCCAGTAACAAAAACAACAAATACCATCTTTTAACGTCTTTCGTATGACATGGTCAAGAATCTCCTGGAATCCAAACCAGGCTGTCAGCATGACAACACTTGAGCTGCTTGGCTACCTGAATGCCCCTCATATCAACTGTTTTGTCCCATGTATACAGCTGTGTACACATGGTTGTTGGTTCAACTGTCAGCAAACATATGCATAGATACTCAGGTTATGTAGGGTAGCCATATGGATGCTGTTTTTGAAACTAATACTGGTTGGAGTCTAGTATATTTCTTAAGGACCAGGAAAATTAACTAAAGACTGGTTTGGTGGTCTAGTGTTATTTTGGGCCCAAAACAAAGTGAGTAAGTGAGTGAATATGGTTTTATGCTGCTTTTAGCAATATTAAATTACATTTGTGATGTCATTTTTTTTTTCCAGGAATGGAGCGATGTATATCAGTTTCAAATTAAAGCCTTCATTTTGTCATTTTGACATTTAATTTTGATGACAGAAATATTCCCAATAGTTTGAATGTAATTTAAGTAGGGTAATATCCTAGTAACTCTACATTCCTTAAAAATAATGTGCCTCAGCTCCATTATTTTTAAGGAATGAAGAGTTACTTGGACATTACACTCTACTTCCAGCAACATCAAGGCGGGGACACCAGAAATGGGCACCACACATTGTACCCATGTGAAGAATCGAACCTGGGTCTTCAGCATGACAAGCAAACGCTTTAACCACTAGGCTACCCCATCCCCCCACCCTAAAACAAAGAAAATTTCAGATTGTAAAACTTGAAATCAGAGGCAGATTGACTTTAACTCTAATCAAATCCCAGCAAACTAAACAAGCTGAACATTTTCAGTGGTTACTTTGTCAGGTTCCTATTTCAAACTGCACGATCAAGAGAATTTTATCCAAACATCTTTGACTCTACTGAAGAAATCGACCATTTCTGCATCCTTCCATAGTTTTGAAGTAAATATTTGTCCACTAATATGCCAAAATGTCACCACAACATCAGTGTAGGAAATGTAGCCCTGTTGGCAATGTGTCTGCAGACCATGATTTGGTTGTTATCATTATCTTGAAACCTTATCTGACTGGGCTGTTCCCATCATGTAAATACACATAAAAAACATCTTGCAGGCTTGTTCTGATATTGTGACCCAATGTCCGATATGATATCACTTGCTTTTCACAACTGCCCTCTCCCTGCTTTGAGTTACCACACCGCGAGTCAGATGCTAATCTATATATATATATATGTTACTGTCGCTAGAACTTACTTCAATGAAACATTTTTGTAACATGTGGACTCCTGGTGATAAATTGATTTGGTGTCAATAACAGAGGGCATGTGTCTTCGTGGGTCTCACAACAGGTCATGCAGTCCTGGAGTGCACATGTACCGACACATATAACACAAGCCCAGGGTTCCACGTGACGCAGAAAACAAATGTATAGAATGGATGGAGGATAATTACATACCACATCCACATGTAACACAAGCCCAGGGTTCCACGTGACGCAGGAAACAAATGTATCGAATGGATGCAGAATAATTACATACCACGTCCACAGGGATGCACAATGTCATTAACTAAATTCACGACAAGAGATATATAATGTCTTTCAGTGGCATTTAGAAGTTGTACATTGATGTCCAAGATATTTTTATGGACTAAACTTCTTTTTTAATTTCTCTCACAACGTTTCGAGACCATTCCAGGTCCCTTCATCAGGTGAACTGGCAGTTAGGACTATGACGTCGTCATTCCAACAATGACTGGCGTCGGAGAAAACTACAGGAAGCTGTCGAGATAAGGAGACATAAACCAGCAATTAATCGTGATCAAGGTGTATACCTGCCAAGTGCGTGGGACCTCTTGATTAAGTTTTGATGAACTTTTGATGAACTTTAGATACAAGGAAAAAACGAGTCTACTATTGTTTTTGGAAAGCCTGCTATCAAGTAACCTTTGTGTAATTAGCAGTTGTTGTGTATTGACAATTCAACTTTCAACTCTATTATTTAGCATGAATTTCATCATTATGTAATTAACTCTTCAAACTCACTTATACAGTACTCTCCCTAGTGTACTGTGATGTCACTTGCATTGTGACGTCATAACTCAGTTATGACGTCATAGTGACGACGTCATAGTCCTAACTGCCAGTTCACCTGATGAAGGGACCTGGAATGGTCTCGAAACGTTGTGAGAGAAATTAAAAAAGAAGTTTAATCCATAAAAATATCTTGGACAAGAGATATATAGTTCCTGTTATAAATGTAATAACATCCTACAGTACACAGTATTATTTACAAGACCCTTACATGTCCTGTGAGGACACTTTAAAGAAGCAATAAGAGTCCTCTGGACTTGTAGGGCAAGGCTAACCCTGCAATTTCTAAACAGGTGCTTGGATGGGTGACTGTGTTTGGCAGCTTAACTCCTAAGAGTATCTTCGACTTCAGTCCTGCCCCGAAACAAAGCACATGGATACATGTGGTCTCACCTTAGGCAAGTGAGTTTGTTAAAAAATTGCCTCTGTTCACCCAACAGAAAATGGGTACCTGGTGAATAAGTCATGTGACTATTAACCTTCTAGCGCCTCACAGCTTGGGTTATCTGGGGTAATAATAATCAAATTGTGATTTCAGCTCGTTAGCATTCACCTAGTGTATGGAGTTTAGCACATTACAAATGTACTTATTATTATTACTACCAGGGATACGAACATAGGATCGCACTATCCAGCTACATATGCATATCAACCTGGTTGATCTAACCCCCGTTACTTCAGGTAGTATTCTGGGCATATGTTTGTGACGCTGTGATGTGCTGACAGAAGTATTATCATGAAACGATCTGTGAATACCAAGTAATGACACTCCCTAAAGCTTGATCTTCTATGCCTTCACAATACCTTTAACAATAGAAAACTAAATTGTGATAATGCAATGTGCCTACTGTGAACCCAAAAAATATGTTTAATACGATATAAATCAACTCTAGTAATTCAAGTACATTAGGAATGATCTTAAATGTAATCTAGATTAGCCATATGTTATAGACTTGCATGGGCTGTACTGGATATATTTGTTTCAGGGTCTGTATGCCAGACACTACCATTCCAGTCTCCCATGAGCCCTTGCTTCCAACTGTGCCCTGTCGTCCTCCAGGCTGAGAACATGGCGGTCACCCAGGTGTCATTCATCCTACATTGAACTCTCAGGAATAAATACATGGTACAAACACATAAAGAACAGGACTGTTTACAATTATATGTACACATCAAATGGAACAGTCTTACAAAAATATTATTTCATCAGTGTACATGTATAATTTATTACCGATTATTGCTTCCCCAAAACTTCAGACATCCTCGACTATGCAGGTTATTATCTCTCATTTCTATTATGACAAAAACCCAGGGCTCGACATTCATGCTATCCCACTGGCCGGGTCTAGTAAAATATTGACAGGACCAGTGCAACTTTGATAAGTGCTATCCTGACGGTCTAGTAGATATTTAAGGCTGTCAATAAGAGTCCCTTAGCAGGGCCTGTAAGAATCTGTAAGGACCAGTGATTTTTAAAAGTTACTGGTCCTGTGGTCTTGTTCGGGAATTTGGGTGAATGTCAAGCCCTGAAAACCGTATACCCATCCGTCACCATAGATTTGCAGTGAGCGAGTATGGTTTGTCTGTGGATTTAGCAATACTCTTGGAATATCATGGTGGGGGATACCAGAAATCGGCTTCACACACTATAAGCGTGTTGGGAATTGAACAAAGGTGTTCAATTAAGCTATTTCAATCACGAAGGAACATGCAATTATTAGAACCAAACTCAAAACAAAGCTAAGTGGCCAGTGGGTATGAAACATCTATCATACCAGAACAGAGACATAATACCGCAGATAATCAAGGATGATCTTCAGCTGATGATTGTACTGAGACTTTCAAGGTGGGTTGAATCTTATCCACAATTCTTAATAAACAATTCTGAAACAATGTTGGGGGATTCCAAACTTCATTTGGGGAAAAGCAGGAAAATTCTGTGACTTCAATTGTCAACAACTGACTTCGGATATTGTAAACTTGTACAACAAGGACATATGTACATCACCACGGTAGCATCAATGCGTTGTCATCTGCAACATTTGATTCTCATATCTCACTATAAAGACTTACACTTAGCATTCAATATCACAGACTGTACGAAAGTTTGGACTTGTTATTCTAATAGCATCATATATACAAAAGTTTGTAAAAACACAGAAAATTTGAAAATAAACAAAATCTGTGGTCCCATTGCAAATTGTTTGGGAAATCATTCAGAGAAAGGACAAGACCCGTGTGAGAATGATCAATTCCAGTAATGATCCAAAGGGCTTCACTGAGCATGTCCGTCTTTCAAAGTAGGACCCAAAGGTCGCAACACCCTCAAAACATCTCCAAATCATTGAAGGCTGCAGTATTAGTGAGCCCACCTTCTTCCTGCTCCGATGTACTTTCCTTGATCCGTGCTGCGAGCTGAGCTCGAACTTCTTCATCTTCAGGAGCATTTTCAATATGGATGACACGGTTGAAGGTCCTCCATCTTAGACACAACTGTACATACATCTTACACTGTACATACATAAAGACAAGTCCACCAGTGAAGCCAATAGCGACCACTATCAGTTTGGTCCAGAATGGCCAGTTCAGATTGCCATTGGCCACTTCTTCTGTGGTGCGGTCAATGAGGACGTACAAAGACCAAATGACACATGTGATGGCTATCATGTGGAATGTGACTGAGCAGATGATTTTCCTCCTTTCTGCTGATGACATATCAAGCCTCTCCCACTGAAACAGAAAGAAATTTCTCTTAATGATAATAATGTCCATTTATATGGGGCTAAACTCCACTAGGGCGTGCTCATAACGCATACAAGATTAAGGAAAAGTAAAAACTTGGTGGCAGTACAAAGTCACTTCAAAAGTACATATGGAACAGTCACTTCAAAAGAACAAACGGAACAGTCTTTAAGAGACACTTGAAATGTTCCAACGACTGGGTTTCTTAGAGAAGGATTGTATATTGGCTAATCAGTGATAGAGTGATGAACAGATCCTTGAACATATTTGTTTTATCGTGCTGTCAACTTAATATTGTAGTGAGTGAGTGAATTGGGTTTGACACCACTCTTAGCTATATCGCAGCAGGGAACACCGGAAAGGTGAACACCACTAGGCTACCATACCACCCCACTTTACATCCAGGAAAGGTGAACACCACTAGGCTACCATACCACCCCACTTTACATCCAGGAAAGGTGAACACCACTAGGCTACCATACCACCCCACTTTACATCCAGGAAAGGTGAACACTACTAGGCTACCATACCACCCCACTTTACATCTTTGAACACCAAGAGTATGTCTATGTGCTGACAATCCTTGAAATAACATCAAGGCAAATCTGATATTCAAACCCATGATTGTAGGTTTCTCGCCTAAGCAACAGAACTCAGCAGAGGAATGGTGTTTGGAAATAAGCATTGAAGTGAAGGCATCCCTGTTGTAGCCCCAATGTTACAGGTGAACACTTAGGGCCTCCCTAGGTTCAAATACTGTAGCCAAAAACATCAAGGTCCCATGACATAGCACTGGCAATATTTTTCCTAGTTAGAGTAACTGCTGACACTGCAATATACAACTGTTTTAATAATTAAATTTATCATCCAAAACTGTGTTCCACAGGAGATATCGCTTGTGAGAGATCAGACGATATCTCCTAGGAGATACCGTTTTGCCAGTAGATTTTGCACAATGCCCTGACAATGCTATGACGTCATGAACTTGATGACATCACAATGCTATGACATCGCTGCACTGCAAATCTAATGGCAGTACTGTGTTCAGAGATGTACATTTTTCATTGAAAACTAATAAAGAGTGTTTTTTGATGATAAATAGAATCTTACCCTCGTGTCTTCTGATATCAAATATATCAACACTCGTTAATAAATGTAAAAATATCCTCGGCAAGCCTCAGATATTTGTTACTTTATCAACTCGTGGCGACATATTTGATATCAAAAGACACTCGGGTGAGATTCTCTATACATACAACTGGGAACATTGTTCCAACTTGAACTCAACATGACACAGTATGCATGTTTATTTGTGTAAGTCTCTCCTCAGTAGTCTACATGACAGCTATCTGTAAATAATCAGGTCTGGACAAGACAATCCACTGTTTGACATCATAAGCATCAATCTTTACAATAGGGATGCAGCACCATGCTTCAACCACGTCAGTAAATCTGTCAACTCAATCCTGTTTATCAGTAAATTACTTATGTCAAGTACTGTTTGCAGAAGACCTGTTCCAACCTGAATCTTCCCAAGGCCAAAGCCTATCTATTTGTGTGTTGTTTGTTGTTGTTGTTGTTTAGTCATTTTCCTGATATACGATGGTGGCCTGTAAAATGTAATAATCTGACCAGATTAACTAGACCTTGAAATTATGAATCATCAAGAAGAACTCAATGGATCTGATATTGTTAATTCTGCAAACTCTACTCAGCATTGTGCAACACACTGCATGTTCCACCACTGTATCAACCTGATTATAATAAACAGCAATTGCTGTGTAAGCTTAGAAAGAAAAAAAATTCCACTTTACTTCCAAAAGTGGGTTTAAAACTTTCTCACAGCATAATTCGTTTCAATTTGTGATATATGCTGCGAAAATTACTTGAAGTATGCTCAAGAAGTTAGGTTGTGGCTATAGCCAGTGACGGTGTCTAACTTATGTTAAGACAACTTTAAATAACCAAAACATCCCGGAAATTAGTCTCCTTGAGCTAACCGAAACTTCCTTAACATGTGGCTTATTAAAGCTGGACAGTGTGTGTATTTTACAAGGTGTAAGTACAGGCTGCAATAATTCCTCTGATGTGGTCTACCTTCAAAGAAGAGACTGGTGTTTGAAAGCATTGTTTTTTCTCCAATCAAACTGATATCCAGCACTTGGAAGATTTGAATAGATCAATTAGTATATTAGTTGGTTGGAAAAAATAAAAACTTTATCTAAAAACAGCATTTATGGTTCTCTTAATATTTGTTACGGTTTTCTACATGACCCCTGTCATTTTTGGTGCCCGCTTACCTGGTTTGAGGGCTGTTTCATCAATTGGATGTAGTTAAGGATTTAGTTAAAGAATTAGCTGGGTTTAACATTGATCTGAACAGTATTTCAGCAAGTCAGTTTTGTCATCAGAACCCCAAAACACGAAGACTATAATTTCTTCCAAAGTGAGATGTCTCTTTCAACATTACATCACCAATGCATGTTTGCTTTTATGTTACCTTAAATTTATTTTAATAAAATCAAAATTAGTTGTTAGGTGGGTTTGGTTTAATGCTGCTTTAAAGTATGCCTGTCAGATCAGGACATGTCCGCCTGATGTGGAGGGAAAGACTTGAGTGATACAGATCTTAAATACTTTGCCAAAACATAAGGTGTATGCTTCAATTATCTGTCGCCAGTAAATAACTAAACCTGAACAAGTTTATTTGTTTGTTGTTTAAAGGTGCACTTAGCAATATTCCAGCTATATGGCGGCGGTCTGTAAATAATTGAGTGAGTGAGTGAGTTTAGTTTTATGCTGCACTTAGCAATATTCCAGCTATATGGCGGCGGTCTGTAAATAATTGAGTGAGTGAGTGAGTTTAGTTTTATGCTGCACTTAGCAATATTCCAGCTATATGGTGCCTGTCTGTAAATAATTGAGTGAGTGAGTGAGTTTAGTATTATGCTGCACTTAGCAATATTCCAGCTATATGGTGCCTGTCTGTAAATAATTGAGTGAGTGAGTGAGTTTAGTTTTATGCTGCACTTAGCAATATTCCAGCTATATGGTGCCTGTATAATTGAGTGAGTGAGTGAGTTTAGTTTTATGCTGCTGTATTCCAGCTATATGGTGCCTGTCTGTAAATAATTGAGTGAGTGAGTGAGTTTAGTTTTATGCTGCACTCAGCAATATTCCAGCTATATGGTGCCTGTCTGTAAATAATTGAGTGAGTGAGTGAGTTTAGTTTTATGCTGCACTTATTCCAGTATATGGTGCCTGTCTGTTTTGATGCTGCACTGCACTTAGCAATATTCCAGCTATATGGTGCCTGTCTATGGAGTGCCTGTGAGTTTAGTTTTATGCTGTAAATAATTGGTGCCTGTCTGTAAAATAATTGAGTGAGTGAGTGAGTTTAGTTTTATGCTGCACTCAGCAATATTCCAGCTTTATGGTGCCTGTCTGTAAATAATTGGTGAGTGAGTGTGAGTTTAGTTTTATGCTGCACTAAATAATTATGGTGCCTGTCTGTAAATAATTGAGTGAGTGAGTTAGTTTAGTTTTATGCTGCACTCAGCAATATTCCAGCTATATGGTGCCTGTCTGTAAATAATTGAGTGAGTGAGTGAGTTTAGTTTTATGCTGCACTCAGCAATATTCCAGCTATATGGTGCCTGTCTGTAAATAATTGAGTGAGTGAGTGAGTGAGTTTAGTTTTACGCTGCACTCAGCAATATTCCAGCTATATGGTGGCGGTATGTAAATAATTGAGTCTGGACCAGACAGTCCAGTGATAAATAGCATGAGCATCGATCTGCGCAATTGGGAACCGATGACATGTGTCAACCAAGTCAGCAAGCCTGACCACCCGATCCCGTTAGTCGCCTCTTACGACAAGCATGGGTTACTGAAGATCAATATTCTAACCCGGACCTTCACGGGTCCTTAATTATTCTAGATTTGTATTGGACTCCACAATATATTCTCTAGTGTCTGGGAGCCAAGGACAATATCTTCCAAGCTTTAGAATTTCAGTAGCATTACGTGTGTGTGCGTGTGACTTCTCCTTAGATCTATGACACTTTGGTCAATGTTTCAGATTAATCTCCATATTTTGCATCCCTTTTTAAGACTATGACGTGGGCAGGTAAAAGAAAGAAAGTTATGTCACGCAGCAACATCTGCCGCTGTTGGGTGGAGCCAGGTAATGAAGATACCAATGTCACAGCGGTTGCCTTGGGCACATCATAGTTCTTTGGCCAGACGTACACCAGGGTTTCATGCTACTCATTAGGAAATGTAATGACACCATCTCATTACCGTAATTCACACCAACCAGTCCATTTGTAGGTTCAGAAATCTATTACAAGACAGATATGTATAGATACATTTATACAGTTGATGCTGCAAGCCTGGAGACCTAATCTTTCTAAAATAATGGACCACGATTAGACATTGAAACTGGAGTATGTTAACTTTTGAGAAATCAAATTCATATCAAGTCTTATTTGGATAGACATAGAATAATGATTTCTTTGTTTGGTAACATGAAATACTGGACATCATGTTAGACACACAGGTAAGGTGATCTACCTACAATCAGGACAAACCTAATGCATACAAATCAATGTGTCCTACTCTCCGCACAGATGGGATGACGAAACAATAGACAGTATATGCTAGCAAAGCACAGGTGTGTTGTATACCTGTATGTTTACTAAATGATACATTATATTATTGATCTATCAAAAAGAAAGTTCTGACCATGGGAACAAAAGCATGGTGGTGGAAAATACATAGATTTATAATATGATATTTTTGATTACAAAACCTGCATCTTTAACTCTTTCAACACCAGTCAACCAGAGGCATTTACTGCCATGACACCGAGTTCCCAGAGACTCTGAGGTCATAGATGAAGCCTATGTTTATGAAGGAAATTATAAGCTTGCAAAATGAAGTTATTGCTACTACATCCCATACACCATTTAAAAGATCTAATCCTA